TGGTTTTGGCAACAACCACAGGGACTTCCATGGCACAGTGTTGACAAAAAGCTAGTAGCAGACAAATATGATGCCCTCCCTGGTCTGGACCTGGAGACGGATCCATCGGACGCCTTGAGAGCCTGGGCGAAGAAGTTTGAGCGAGCAGTGAAAGAATCGGTCACCAACACGGAAGATTGCCCCTCAAGTTGCTTGGGGCGTTGTCAGGTTCGGGGACCCCGATTGAGGAATAGTGCAGTGCAGGTTCCAAAACACTCACGAGAGGGTGATTTTCAAGTACATGACTCTTTTCTCGGCCGTGCATGCCAGCTGTGGTTTCAACAACTTCGGCGACTTGAATCACTCTTGAGGAATGCTCGAAAGAATTCACAGTCCGAAGAGGCTGCCCAGGAGAGATCGCTGGTCTGGCAAAGAGTTCTGCAAGCCAAAGGATTTCAACACAGATTTGATCTTTGGTGGATGCGAAGGCCGCTACAACTTCAAGGAGCCCCCGAGACTCTTGACAGAAGGGTGCCAGATGCACAGTCCCTTGAACTCATTGTTGCTGACTTCAAACAAAACTATGATCGCTTTGCTTCCTGGCACAGTTCCCGCCGTCAGAGAGTGATCAAGGCCAGATGGCAAGAGAAGCAGGATTCGTGTTTTCGTGTGGTTCGTCCAAATCCCAGAGAGCAGCTTGAGACTTTGGTTGACACCTTTGACCAGCGCATTGAGGTTTGTGATGCCAGTTGTCAATACGTGCGAGTTGAGACTGCTTTCCCGACAGAGGGAATTCTGCGATGGACCCTGAACAAAATCCCTGCAGTTGTCCGTCAGGTCGATGACCGGGTGTATGAGGTTGATAGTGACTTGGTTCTGTGTGATGGACAGATCCTGAGTTGCAAGATTCTCGTGGACGAGATCTCCCAGATCCAGGACAGACTTGTGGCCCTATGGAATGGCAGATGGGGCCAACATGCTGGGGTGCCACAGGATCATTGGCAGCGCATATGCTCCTTTGCTGCTCGCTTTCTACCAAGGCTGGAGCTTCATCTCCAACCGGTTTCCTATGAACAATGGGTAGCTTCAGCCAAGACATTCAAACTCAAGGCTGCGCGAGGCCCGGACGGGCTGTCGAGAGAAGATATCCTGTCTATGCCACGGGTTGTGACTGAGGAACTCCTCATCATCTTCAGCAAAATTGAGGGTGGATCCCTATGGCCATCACAATGGCTGAAGGCATTGGTTGTCTGCCTCGAGAAGCATGCCGGGGCTGAGACAGTCAACGACTATAGACCCATTACATTGCTGAGCATTGCATACAGGTGCTGGGCTAGTGCAAGAACAAATCAGCTTTTGACGCATTTGTCAAAGATGCGTGCACCGCACCAATGCGGGTTCACTCAGGACTGCATGCCTGCGGACATTTGGTTCTGGATTCAGAGCGGCATTGAGGCCTCCATTGCCAGTGGAGGAAGCAAATGTGGAATTGTTGCTGACATTGTCAAGTGTTACAACTGCATCCCGCGCCAACCACTGTGGCCGTTGCTCCAGTGCCTCGGGGTTCCATCTTTCTTCACACATTGCTGGAGCCGCTTTCTAGATGGCCTTCAGAGGAGCTTCGTGATCCGACAATCAGTTGGACCAGTTGCAGCAAGCACGTGTGGATATCCTGAAGGATGCCCCCTCTCGTGTGCGGCAATGACGGCACTCGACATTGCATGGCATTGTTGGCAGACACACTATGCACCATCAGCTAGGGCACTGTCGTTCGTCGACAATTTGGAGGTCACTGGCTCAGGCCCACTTGAAGCAGTGCAAGGTTTGGCAGCCATGAGATCTTTCTGCGAAAGTGTCAGCCTACAGCTGGATGAGGCCAAGCTCTACGGTTGGGCTACAGACCGGAAAGGCCGACAAGGTCTTGAGGCCTTTGGAGTGCGAACAATCCTTGAGGCAAGAGATTTGGGCGGACAGGTGACCTACTGCTCGAAGCACTTCATCCATGTCTTAGCTGATCGCATCGCAGGCATTAAGCCTTGTTTTGCAGCACTTCGCAGATCAGGGCTATGCCTTTGGGACAAGCACAAATGCATAGTAGGAGCCATTTGGCCGAAAGGGCTCCACGGCTGTGAGGCAGTCATTGTGGGAGCACAGCACTTTGCAATGCTTCGATCCGGAGTTATGCGCGCATGTTGTTGGGACCTTCCTGGATCATCAGCTTGGGTGCGTGTTGGACTCATTCATGCGGATAGGCTTGATCCTTTCTTCTATCAGCTTTGGAGGTGTCTGTGGATGTTTTGCCGGCAATGCTCTCGCAGTTATGAGATACGTCACGCTTGGCAAACTTTCTGCTTTGGGGCCTCAACCAGGAGGACTCAAGGGCCGTTTTCAAAGTTGAAAGGACTCTGCAGAGACCTAGGCTGGGACATCACACATGATCTACGGCTGCAACTGCCAGGAGGACTCGAGGTTAGCATTCTCGATATCCCGCAGACCGGGCTCCGGAGGCTAGCGCTGTATTTCTGGAGGCAAACTGTCTCTACCAAGGTTGCTGAAAGGAGCTCATTGTCCGATTTGAAAGGCTACGAGGCGCAGCATTCTGATCTTCTGGATGGTCAGCTCTCAAGCTTCGAAACGGACCTTCTGCACAAGGTCAGAGACGGAACACACTACACACGTGATTGCATTGCCAATTTTGCATCGGGTGGATCGGCTTGTCCGCATTGTGGATGCCCAGACTCCAGGGAACACCGATATTTTGAGTGTGTTCACTACAGCGACCTAAGAGAGGATTTGCAGATCGATCCTGATTTCTGGTGGAGTTGTGATGCTCATTTAGCCCTGCATGGCTTGGTTGGTCGTAATCCTTACAAAATCTTGTTTTGGAAGGCGCTTGAAGCATTGCACTTGACCGGATCATCTTTTCGTTTTGAGCCTCCTCTTGAGCAGAACAGACACGTCTTCACTGACGGATCAGGCATTGAGCAGAGGAATGCGGACCTGGCTCTGGCTGCTTGGTCTCTCGTTCATGAAAGCTCGGGCGAGATCATTGCGGCCGGAGGCCTCCCTGGCTTGGTGCAGTCGGTCCCCAGAGCAGAGGCCTACGCGGTCCTCATGACTGTCAGATGGGCAGCCAATGAGCAGGACGTGACGCACATCTGGTCGGACAGTCAAAACACAGTTGAGACTTTTCGTTGTATTCAGGCAGGAGACGGCAGCTTTGAACATGGCGATAATGCTGACATTTGGCAACAAATCGCAGATGAACTAGATCATGCCGCCGGCTTGTTCCGAATACACAAAGTCCCTGGCCACATGTCGGAGGAGGAATGTGACAGCCCTTTCCTGGATTGGTGCCGAACCAACAACTCCAAGGCGGACATTGCGGCAAAATTTGCCAATGCATCCCGACCTAGCTGGTTTGCCACGCTGTATGCCAGGTACAGAGACAGATGGACACAAGATGATGCTAGTTTCAGAAAGATGTCTGCACTCCACCTTGCAGTCGCGAAACGAGATGTTGAGAGCCGACCTGAGCCGCAGCAAGGGTTAGAGAATTCGGTTGAGGATCCTTTGGATTTTTGTTATTTTGATAGGTCGGTCCGTGATCTCGAGTGTACAGAGACTTTCGAGGCTCACTCGGAGGGATTGCATTTGAACTGGTTTGCGCAGCTACCGGGAGACCCTCTGATACGACCAGAGTTTGTGTCACGACTTCTGGACTTCCTAATAGGACTAGAAGGGGTCAGCAATCGATGGTGTTTGGTCACTTTTGTGGAGCTTTCTGTTGTCTTTAGGCAATTCATTGGTTGTGATTTGGTTTCTAGTGCGTCAGACCAACCGCCAAATCGATGGACACAGCACACTTTAGCTGCTGAACGACGAGTGTTCAGGAAAGCTTTTTGGCAGCTTTGCAGTGCCCTTGACCTCAAACCTGAGACTGGATGGGTTGATCTTGGTTCGATTGGTTTTAGTGCTTGTTGCGAGTCGGTTAGGATTTGCTACCCGGTTGAAGCGGAGAGGTTTGCGGTTTCGTTGTTGAAGAAGTTTGCCTCAGGGAGACCGGTCAGGAGCGCGCAGGCGCTGGCGCGCCCACTGCCTGTTTAGGATGCCCACGTGGTATCAGAGCCGCTGCCGCGGCCGCGACTCTGAACAGTCCGACTTGGCAGTTCGCGTATTTAACACGAATGCAAGCAGTTTCTCTTGAAAGGTTTTTTGGGGTTCAGCAGGTCATCCTTTCGCAAACAGAGTACTGTGCTGCCAAACATGGCCTCTCCAAAGATGCCTGTGAGATCTCCATGTCGAAGTTGTGAAGAATGACCGGGATACCCTTAAACAAACAAACACAATCTAGATTCGAGATTTTGTGTTCCATCAGTTCGATATCCCGATTAGATTCCATCCACTTGAGCCGAGCGCTCTCGAGCAAAACAGCCCAACATGAAGACCGAAATGGACGCATTTCTCCAAATCTGCACATGCTGAAGGACCAGGTTGGAGCAAAAGCTATCCATGATGATGATGATGACGGCTCAGACGGGTAAGAAGTTGAATTTGGATGTCTCAAGTCACAAGAATATTCACTCTCAAACAAACCAACGTTGAGAGGGGGAGTCATCACAAAGCTCCTCCAAACAAATGATTTGCCCTATTTTTGCCTACACTTCTGGTTGGATCTCAACACGTTCTTCCAAGCAGAGATCCAACCCTGGGCCGCGGATGAGGATATAGATATTGTAGATTGATAGATTATAGTAAGAAATAGTAAGGTTTTCACTTGCCTTTTATCTCCGTGGTTGCACCCCGCCACCGTCCTGCAACAGAGGAGTGGATTTGGGGGAACCGGACCCCCTTCCATGACCTGGGAAACTAGGGGTAGTGTTAAGGAATGTTAGAAGTTAGGTCTTGCACTTGCAGGAAAGAATTCATGACAAGCAATCCCAAACACTCCAGGCAAAACACAACACCATCGGTTTGGGCATGTGTCACGTGTGTAAACCGTCCCGTGATCGCACGCTGAGGCACCTTCGCATACCTTTCCAATGCCTTGCGGCACCCTGCTTCAAGCACCGGGCCGGTCGATCAGCCGATCGACCGCCCGATCGGTCGATCGGACGATCCGCTTTTTGGATCTTTTTGGAAAAAATGAGTTGAAGGGTCCTTCTCACCCGATCTTCAAAGGGCTCTTCCAGTTTTTTGATCCACCTTTCGGTCCGAGATGGAGCTTGAATGAGTGCAAGATGTCTGCACAAGACATCGAGGGTGACGAGGGTTTGGGGACGCCACGTGACGCTGGAATCATTACGCTGGACTTGAAGAAAGCGAACCATCGAAGTCAATGGACCTGCATACCCTGTGAATGTTCTTACGAGAGGTGACCCGAACTCCTGAGTTCTTTTTGTTAGCCAACTTTTGGATCCGGACAAAGCCCCAAGAATGGGACGATTCAACCCGAAGAACCGGAGCGAAGCAGGTCTACTACTCCGTCGGAAAAAAACTCCGTTCACCAGACATCAAAGGCTTTGCGAACATCCTTCAAGTTGGGTCCGGATGGATTTCCAAGATCTTCCTCCACACATCCACCTTTTTGTTTAACTCCTTGTATTGATGGCCTCGCAGGATCTATATATGGTAATATGGTAGTTGGGAAATGATTTCAAGAGTTCCTGCAAGAGAAGCCGCACGTGCGGAGCCCATCGGCCCCCAGGTCCCAGGGCGACTGGGCCGCTGCCTTGCCGCCGTTGCGGCGTGAGGGGGTCGGGGACGCCAGCGACGGGAGAGGTGAGGAGTGGATCAGATGTGGGGAATCCGAAGGTTGGTGAGACATGTTGGTGGTTTGCAACCAAAGGAACATCACAGAACCCAAGACGGTGCTGGTATTAGAACCCAAGACGGTGCTGTTTTTTTTGGGAGGGGGGTTGTTGTGGTGTTTTGCGTGTTCAGAATTTGTGGTTGTGGGTTCAACGGCAAATCTGCCCACATTCCTTTTCACGAATTGGAGTGTCATGGTCGGCTGGCTTCTTCGTTTTTCGTTGCGACCGTGCCGCTTCGGCATCCCTGACCGTGTGGCCCAATGTTGGGAGAGGGGGAGAGACAGAGGGATAATTACAAGGTGTTTGACAGCAATGCGCATTGGCTGGCTGCATCTTGTTAAGGTGCGGGTACGCCCTCCTCATTTGCAACAAGACTCTTCAACGACACAGATTCCGTATGCGCGTGACACAACATGAGTCTCTACGCGCCACACAAATCTGAGCGGTGGGCATTTCTTATCCATTCCGTTGATGATGTGCATAGGTTTTTGGATGTCATATTGTCATGGATACATGGCACATAACACTATCGCACCAATGGAATACTTTAATTTCTGAAAGGGTTTCAGTGGATACATTCAATCATCCACCTGGGCGTTGACCCATACCCAAGGGCGATGTGGAGGCAGCCGCATTTTAAGTCATGTCAATTAGATCGATTTGTTTTGTTCCCCAGAGAGCGAAGCTATGGGGTTCTTACTTCAAATAACAATGAGTTGCACGTGCGCGCTTTCGAGACAGGTTGCTGGTGCTGCTGAGTGCCGGTGCCGGTGCTGGTGCTGGTGCTGGGTGCCGGGTGCCGGTGCTGGTGCTGTGAGCTGGCTGGGCACGTGGTGGAGACAGGTTGCTGGTGCCGGGTGCCAGTGCTGGTGCTGGTGGTGCTGCTGTGAGCTGGCTGTGCACGTGGTGGAGACAGGTTGCTGGTGC